GGCTTTCTCTCGGTCGCGTGCTGGCAACCTGTTTGTGTGATACATAAAATGTGTGTTACAATGAAAAAACAATCATATTGACATGCAGCAGCTCGGGGCATGTGGTCGTTGGGAAGCAGAGAGCACCATGCAGCATGGCTGCGTCATCAGTCATTCTGGAAGGCACGCTGCCAGATGCTTCGCGTTAAAATCCGAAATATCATAAAGCAGCGCGTCCCGAGCAAAGGTGATACCAACAGCACTTCTATAATAAACATGCAAAGGAAGATGAAATAACCTACAGAATCACCATCAGATTCCGTACCAGTACTAAGCTTGGGTCCAGCAGGGCCCCAGCTTCACCAGTCCCTGGCACGGTCACTGGTAGCAACTGGAAAGTCCCTCTTCCTGGAAGGCCAGACAAGACCCCAGCTCCGACCCACAGCCGCATTGAAAAGAAACAAACACGACAACAACCATGATTGCCTCCAGGACTCTCACAGCTGCCAGATCAATTGCTCCTCGCCAATTTGCAAGCAGGCCAATTTCGCGCCGCGCTATCACAGCAGTTCGTTGCATGGCGACGACCGAGGGCGACCAGAAGCTCGACAAGAGGTTAGTGCCACACATCTTCGGGCGCGATTGCGGGGCAGGGGGCAGCGGCGTAGCAGTGAGTGCGGCGTGTGGTGGTGGTGCTGTGGCGCGCTTGCTTGTGCGCCTTGGCTGATCATCACCACCCTGCGACATCCCTGCAGCACTCCGGAGGGCGCCTGGAAGAAGCTGCTGTCTGCCCAGGAGGTGCGTGGTTGTATCAACTATGCTGGGGGCATACCTGCGGCTAGGATGGCAGCCGGCTGGCGCATCCATGCACGCGCTGCGCAGCGGCGCATATGTTTAATGAAGTTGTCAGCATTCACGCCGCTTCGCAGCTACACTGGGGCTGGGGGTATCCCCTCCCGCTCATCCACACCCACACGCGCACGCTTCCACCCCCTCCCTCACACACACATGCGCACACACACGCACACATCACACCTTGCTGCAATCCCAAATATCATGCGCCCCTTTGGAAACAAGCGGCAGGGTTGGGCAGTTATCGCTCTGTCCCTCTGGAAGTGTCCAGGCGCCCAACCTCACAGTGACGATGTTCCGCCCTGCCAATCCCTGTTTGTTGCGAGCAGTACCACATCCTGCGCGAGAAGGGCACTGAGCCCGCCGGCTCTGGGCAGTACAACAAGTGAGCTTGCGGGCACCGGGGAGGCCTTCCGTTACGGCGCAGCTTTTAGGCGGGCAAAGCCGGGCAAAGCACGGCGCAGCTTTTAGGCGGGCAAAGCCGGGCAAAGCGCGGCCTGCGACAAAGGCACGCCGCGTCATCTGCCAGAGTGTTGGGCAAGGGTAGGGGCGAGCAGCTGCCTTTGCAGCGACTCAGCTGAGCAGCACGCACCCGCTCCTGCCGCCACCCCCAGGTTCTACGAGCAGGGCACATACGTGTGCGCAGGCTGCGGGACCCCCCTCTACGAGTGAGCGGTCTCGGCGTGGCGCCGTTGCACGGACAGCTTCGCGCCGGAGGGGCGGTGCGCGATATGCCAGCCTGCTGCGCTGCATCTGTCGCCCACGGAGCAACGAGCTCTGCCCCTCTCCTGACCGGCATCGCCCTTGACACGCCCCTCCACCTCATTTGGCACCCAACAGGAGTGAGACAAAGTTCAACTCGGGATGCGGGTGGCCTGCCTACTACGACAACCTGCCGGTGAGGTGTACTGACATATAAAGGCGTGTTTTGCTAGGGCTTTGGTCGTGGGAATTGAGATGTGCTGGCATGGGGAACTTCCAATTGCGAAGCGCTACTGCTGGTCCCCATGCAGATTCATGCACCCTCTTGCGCACTCGCTCACATGAACGCCCGCGCACGACAGCTCTCGTGCCACACACAAACGTACGCAATCTCACAGCCTTGCACCCGCTCACATGCACAGCACTTACTAATGCGCGGGTGCCCACCGCTTCACTCTGCTACACAGGGTGCTGTTGAGCGCCACGAGGACAGGGCCTATGGCATGATCCGCACGGAGATCACATGCGCCAACTGCGGGTACGTTCGCTGGCCTAGCAGCCCAAATAGTCGCGCTCTTGTCAGGATTGCCAGCAGCCCAATCAGTCGCGCTCTTGTCAGGATTGCCAGGACCTGTTGTTGTGGTGGCAGTTGCGCTCGGGCGTTCAGCTCTTTTGGGGCTCAAATTACTGTGGACCAACCGGGGGCCCTGACCCTGGCGACGGACGCCCTGTCTTACGCATGGAGAGGGTGGGGCAGGCATGCCCGCCACCAGGCCTGGCCGACCATTGCTCTGCACGTAGTGCGTGTGCCCAGTTCTCGCGCGCGCCCACCATGTACTTCTTGATCACGCAGGGGCCACCTGGGCCACGTCTTCAAGGGCGAGGTGGGTCTTAAGCTTTGAGCCTGCGCCGCCGTGTGTTCGACTGTGTGTGCCCGTCTTGCAGCCACTCTGTGCAGGCAACCTGCTTGATGCACAGCTACGGCATCAATAGACCCTGGCATCATGCGTTTGCCCCCCCCCCTGCCGCAGGGCTTCCCCACGCCGACCAACGAGCGGCACTGCGTCAACTCCGTGTCTGTTAAGTTCAAGCCCAAGGAGTGAGCGCAGCTTGAGAGCATCGGCAGATTGACACGCAGCGTCAAGTGGCACTGCGCGGCTAACTGGATGCCATGTGACAGCTGGAGGGGATGGCTACCTAGTATACGCTTGCCTCGTCTCAACCATTCATGATTCGGCCTTTTTCAAGCGTTTGGTCCTCTTTGGATGGTGACTTGCATGCTTTGCAGCCTGGCACGCCGCTGCATGCTTACCTCGCGCCATGATTTTGACTCACGCATGTGCCTACTTCTGTAACTCTTATGTGATTGACTTATGCGTTACTCAAACACCATGAGGATCCTTACAAGGGAATACAACTATCCAATACAAGGGGTGAGACCAGAGATTGGTTGCCTAATGTACAGCTGCAGGTGGGGGACTACTCATGCCTGGGCGGGGACCAAGCTGTCGGATGGTGCAAAATGACATCGCTTGCTCGGCAGTGGTTTCTTTCTGCCAAATCGGCAGTTGAGCAGGTGTGATTGTTGGACACCAAGGCAGGATGAAGTTCACAGGCATGAGACAATATGCTGCAACCACGAGGTGCGCAAAGGAGCCTGCGCAAAGCGCTCAGGTAGGCGGCTCAAGTAGTTAGCTTTGCACAGTGCTACGCGCGGTGCTGCCTGAGTTCCTCTCTTGGACAGCTTCGCTGCGTTGTGATATGCGCAGGTGGGGTTTGCACCCTGGGTCTGGCGCAGTAAAGGCGGGGTGCTTAGTCATATAATCACACAAAGAAGAAACAGCGAATCCGGCTTCCTGCAATAAGCTAAGACATCAGTGAGTAGGGCGACACCGTCTTGCCTGGGCACCAAAAGATGCAAGACAGTGCGAACATTGTAAACTGCGTGTCCCCACATATTGGGCTGTGACCCAAATCGAAAATCACGATCCGGCGTCAGCGTTCACACCAGCACAGTTGCTGCATTGTATGAAGATATCTGCAACAGGTCTAATGAGTCGCTCATCTGTGGGGGCGCCTCAACTGCCACCCCACCCTAAGAAACTAAATTCTCTGGCCCCAGCTCGGCTTCCATTGCGGTTGGGTCAAAAGCCGGCCCATTCAAACATCTCGCCCAGCCGGCAGTCCTCCCCCTTCAGCCTCTCCACCTCAGAGTGAGAGAGGGTGCCATCACGCTGCCGGTTTGGCGCCAAAACCCAGCATGCCGGCCAGGCCGGAGCCGACGCTGGAAAACCTGGAGGCGAGGGTGGCGCCGGCCTCGGCGGTGGCGTCGTCGTAGAGCAGGCGCTCGTGCCACACCAGGCAGGAAAAGAGGTACTGCCCGCCCTGGATGCGACACGGAGGGTGGGGGTTGGTCGGGCAGGGAGTCGGTGAAGTGTGGTGAGGTTGGGGCAACACTGCGGTTCAAGGGAGACCACCGCCTAGTGATAAGCAGGCCAGGAAGGCATATGTTGCAGCGGACAATGGTCGTTGCGCCCCAATCAAAGATCAAAAACACGCCGCTGAGCAGGTCTATGTTGCATTGTATTTGACGAGTACAAGCCCCGGAACCCGTCTGTCTTCAACCAAGGACAAGGCACGGATTTGGAATAGCCAGGGTCCATGGATCCCCCGGCTACCGCACCTTGATGTCCTTGCAGGTCAGCTGCAGCGGCTGAGCGCTGAGCGCTGCGGCGAGATCGATGTTGACCAGCCCGCCTACGCTCAGCTTGTAGCTGCTGAAGTCGATCAGGTGCTGCCAGATGTGGAAGGTGTAGGTGTGGTCTGGGCTGAGGGTGAGGCCCTCCAGGTTCTTGGGGTTGTCGCACCACTTGCGGCGGCGCTCTGAAAGCACTGATTTCAGGGAGGGACAGTAGCAGGGGGGGGAGGCAGCTGAGCGGCCACATGCGGGGAAGCCTTCTCAACATGCAGCACCACCAGGAGCGTCGAGTGCCACAATGCAAAAGCGGGCAGAGTTTGTGCGGCTTGCAAGGCAATGGATGCGGTGGGGCGCTAGAGGGGACGGAACAGAGGTTGCGGCCTTACTGGGCTGGCCAGACTTGTCCGCGGTGTCGCTGCTGAACAGGCGCATGTCCTCCTTGGCGGCCCACATGTCGTGCGGGGCGTCCTTGTCGCAGGACACGTTGATCACCTGGTTGATGCACACAACGGAAGGCATGCATGCAATGGAGGGTTGCGGGTCAGACCACGCAGGCGCTGCACTGAGTGGCAAGCGCCGAGGCATTGCGAGGCGCCGACACCACCAATCTGCGCCGTCGCCCATTATCAATTAGCGTCTCTCTTTGAGAAACGTTTCTGCATCGTGCACGCGGCCCCTCCGCCCACGAGCGCCAGGCAAGGCTTGCCTGGCAGGCTGCCAGCACTGGGTTCATGAAGTATGGCAGCCGCGACTGCACGTTGACGTGCGTGCTGCTGCTGAACACCTTGGACGCCGCCTTGAGAACCACCTCCCCCACCCACGGTGGCGCGTTGCCCGGCTTGACAAACTCTTGGCCCATGCACAGCGCGTCCGCGTCCACAGCACGCTTGAACTTGCCCTGCGCGCGCAGGTGGCCAAGTTTTGCATCAGGGTTGGGGGGCGCCGGTTACAGGTTACGCATGAACAGGCTGGGGGTTCATGCAGCGCAGAGTGCTACCCGACCAGTTGCACTGCCCCGCTGCACGCCTGGCGGCACCGCGTGCGCGCTCCAGCTTACATTGCCAGGCAAGCGGCGCGCTGCCCCCTAAACACCACCCGTCAGCCAGCGACATGCCCACGCACCTGGCAAGCTATCTGGAAGAAGCGCTTCTTGCCCTGAAACATGCCCTGCTGGGTGGTCTTCAGCCCCTTGAGGTGGATCTCCACGCGGCCGCTGAAAATGTCCGTCTCAACGCGCATTGCGCCGCTGTTGATGCCCAGCGGCCGGGCGGGGTTGGCGTCGCCGTTGAAGACCTGGCGTGCACGAAGAGCAGGGAGGGTGCTGAGGGTTTGTAATGTATGTGTGTATGTGTGTGTGGCGGGGTCATCCTGGTGCAGAGCGTCCTCCGCGTGCATCTGCGGCCACAGCTGACTGGACGCTCGGTCGCTGCGTCTGTCCGGCCGTCTCCACATCTGCCTTGCAAAGCGCAACAAGAGCGTGCGTGCCTGGCTGCCGGCCATGGGGTTGGCAGTGACGACAATCGGGTAGTGGGGGGATGCCTTGACCTCTTCATGGGAGGGCATTGCCGGCCGGTGCCAGGGGTGCACATCACGGGGCCCCAGCTCCGGCACATCTGCTGACACGTCCGCCAGCAGCGAGCTGGGCAGGCTCACGACTGGCCTATGTGACTTGATTGAACCTATGCTGGTCGTCATGGAGCCCGCAGATGCGCACGATGGCTGCAGTTCCGCGGGAAGCGCAGATCGGGACAAGGGTGAGGCGATGAATGCACTAATTGCCCCGTTGAGAGCATAAAGTAGTTTTAATCAGTGTGAAAACTTTCTCTCAATGCGAAAGTGCGTTGTCTTGGCTCTCGGCGACGGGAGACCTTCGCAACTGCAGAAGACACAAGGTCAACGGGAGCACGCGTCCGCTAATGCTGCGTACTATAGCCTTAAATGATAAAAATCTTTGTGCATCAAGGGACAGACGTTCGCGAAACACACCCAGCAGCCTGTGAACGGCTACACTGAGTTTATTTGGGCCAAGTGCCGTACGAGTTCAATGCGTCGTGATTTTATGACAAGATATATTATCTGCATACAACGACGGCAGGCGGAGTATCAGGGGCGGTCGGCGGGTTGTGGATCACGAGGCAAATGATGGGCATCGATCAACGTACAGAGACAAGTTGCACAAGATCACGATAGCGTGTCGGAGGGCAACCAGTGCATTGATACATCACCACAAGTACTCAAAAGGAAGTGTGCGCCTGACATGGGGTACATGCGCAGGGTGTGGGCACAGATGCTGCGCAAGTGCCGAGTTTTCGCAGCGTAGCGCTCAGCTGGCACCCTGCCAGAGCGTCCGCTGCTCATGATGTTCCTGCTGCTTTTGGATCTCGGGCGGCAAACAAGCCTCGATAAGTGCTGCCCTAATTGCACCCGATGATGGCACTTCAACTGTGCAGTATTTGTCTGCCGAACCGTACAACTGCGTCCTGACACCAGCACCTGAAGGCTGATGGGGCATGACATGAAAGCCATTGAAATGGAGCCATTACAACCAGCTAGCACAGCCAAGGCCTTTGCTCTGGGAGCAATCTGCTTGCCAGCGACTGTAAAGCTACATCCTCAGCGCAGAAAGCTGCATGGAGGCGTTCCTGATGCATGGTGGATGCAAATGAAATTGCATGGTGATGACTGCATCACAAGCATACCACAGTTGTAAAAACACAGGGGAACAGCATCTAGGCCTGCAAGTTTGTGCACAAACCCACACTCGCTCGCAACATAATCCATTGTTCACAGTGAGGTCAGCAACACAAGCCAGTCATGAACAAGGCTGCAATAGGGATCCACCTGGCAAGGACGATGAAATCGTGGGGTTTGAAAATCCACTGTGGCTGCAGGACACATTCGCACATCACGACACAGCCGCCGTGTGGCAAGCAAGCCACGGTGCTTCCGCGGCTGGCGAATCAAGGCAGCCAGCTGTGGCACGTTCCACGTCCGCTGCTCCCACCGTGGCCATGTCACCCGCCGTTGACATGCACCCGCTGCGGCACGACTTCTCGCCACATCTCTATCAGTGTGTGCACCTGCTTGCCGGCGCCTGCAAGCACCAGAATTAGCACAGCCAGGTAGCCAAGAGAGAAGATTACCCGCTCGTGATAGTCAAGAACGTCCAGACCCGTGAAACACATCAGCCACCAGAGCATCTTGTGCAGCCGCCTGCGTCAGGAGCGCGCAAGCATCGGGCTGAGGAGCGCTGGTGGCGCTTTACAACGCGCGTCGTGCGTATGGTGCACACGACCCTGTGTTTGAGCCCAGTCCGCGTGCGCATGCAGGCATGAACAGCGCGCACAGCTCGTGCAGTGAGGGTGGGGCCCTCTGCACAGGCTCTGTCTTGCGAGCAGCCCCTGGGCGCAGCGGCCGCGCGCTGCGCACCTGGCGCTGCGCTGCAGCAGACTACCATCGCCCTGCCAGCTGGCACGGTACTCTGCCAGCATTCTCAAATGTTCTTCTCTTCCAGATGCACTTGCTCCCACGCCTGACTGCTGGTGCCGCTGATTGTGCTGCTGCGGAGCCCCGCTGGGTGGTGGCTCGCCGTCTCGAGCCATGCCAGCAGACTCGCTAACTATAACCTACACCACACGGCTGAACGTGCTGCCGTGGTGCCCGTGTCTGTAAAGTCCAACCAACTGAGGCAATCTTGGCGCCAAGGGAACGTGTATTGCTTTGAAAACAGTGCTTCTTGATGCAGCAGAGCAATGCCCGCAATGTTAGCTTAGCGGCTGTCCAATCAGCGATGTGTAACCCGCGTAGGCACTGCGCCGCTTCGTCGAAGTTGCGCATGCAGCAGGTGCATGTGCAGCTGCTGTTGGAACGGCAAGTCATGTGTCAAAGTCTTCTGCATTCGGAGCTTGCATCGGTATTGACACATTCCATCTGCAGTTTTTTCGGGGCTTGTTTGGTGCCACTTCAGTGATCATGGCCGCCCCGGCAGAGGACGCCGCCGCCGATGCGGTCGACCAGCTCAGCCTGGAGTACAACCCGAGCAACCGTCTGGGATTTTACCAGAAGCGTATAGCCCTTTTTGAGCAGTTTTATGAGCGGGAGCAGCAGCGGGTGGAGGAGGCGCGCAAGGCCGCGGTCCCGATCAAGGTAGTGCTGCCTGACGGGGCCATCAAGGAGGCGATCAAGGGGGCAACCACCCCTTTGGATGTTGCCAATGAGATCTCCAAGAGCCTGGGCAAGAAGGTGCTCGTCGCTACGGTGGACGGCGAGGTCTGGGATGCGTTCAGGCCGCTGGAGGCCGATTGTGCCCTGCAGCTGCTGACCTGGGATGAACCAGATGGCAAGGAGGTGAGCCTCGATGCTCTCAAGGCGCTGCGGCACAGGAGCCGCCAGTGGCGCAAGGCATTTGTGTGAGAGCGCGCAAACGCGCTGCAGTGCTGCGGCCGACTGCTGCACCTGCATGCACGACATGAAGCCCGGAGTCATGGGGATGAAGTCATGTCGTAAGCAGCACCTGCGCAGCGTTGAGTCTCCTGCGCCTCCATTGTAGCTGCGCTCAAAGGGCATCCCGGGGTGCTTTCCGCCCTCGCCCCATGCCGATGTCAGACCTTCTGGCACAGCAGCGCGCACGTGCTGGGCGAGGCGCTGGAGATGGAGTTTGGCGTGGACCTGACGATTGGCCCTGCGCTTGAGGAGGGCTTCTACTATGACTGCTACATGGGAGACAAGGTGCGCGGCCTGCAGCTGCGCCTCGGCCCACGCCATGCAAGACGTATCTTATGCATCCGGTTTGCACGCACCCAGCAAACTAATGCGGCTTTTCAGACAAACAAGGGGCTGCCAGCAGACCTGCGGTAGTTGGACGCTGCTGCGGATGCCCGTGGCTGTGGGGGCCACGAATGCGAGCCGCCAGTGGAGCTTGCAGCAGCGGCCCCGACGCCCGCGGCGCAGGGCACGGCCGCCCCGGCGTCGAGCCGCGCCCCGCCGCCTGCTGGCCCCCCCTCAGACGCTGGCCGAGGCGGAGCGGCCTTCGATTGAGAAGCGCATGGAGGCGGCGGTCAAGGAGGGGCAGCGGTTCCAGCGCGTGGTGGTGTCGCGGGCCGAGGCGCTCAGCATGTTCACCGAGAACAAGTTCAAGGTGCGGGCGCCTTTGGGGGGGGGTGCGCGAAGAACAAGAAGGGCTTGGGCAAGCAGGGCTTGCTGCTATGACGGGGCTCTGGTACGCAGCAGACCCGGGAGGACAGCAGCCCCGGGGGACATTTTTAAACCAAACCAGGCGGATGGGTCTCTGATTGACGCGGGGAAGCCCTGGGCAGGCATACAGGTGTTGGATCGCTTCATGGCAGCGGGAGCACTTGCGGGGGCAGTCACGTGGGTGTGGTTGAGTCTTCAGTTGAGCGGGCCCATGGGCGGTCCAGGTGATTGGGATGCGGCGGCAGATTGTGCTCTGGCAGCGGCAGCCCAGCTGCCACATGGACGCACACGTCGAAACGGCCTTCACGGCAGCGATACACCCATGGCGCCATTCTCACACTTCCTCTCGCCCCTTCACGGTCCACCTCAATCCCAGCTTCAGTTTCTGCACCCGCCTATCCCACTCCACCCCCACCTCCCATCCCGCACGCCTTCTTACCTTGCAGTGCGAGATCATCCAGGGCCTGCCCGAGGACGCGACCATCTCCCTCTACCGCTGCGGCCCAATGGTGGACCTTTGCCACGGCCCCCACCTGCCGAACACAAACCTCATCAAGGCGCGCGCAGGCCAGGGGATGCGGGAGAGGACTCATGCACACGCTCGAGGTCTTCAGGGGCTGCTTGGCAGGGCATTTGATCGGCATGGCGTTGCAGTAACGCGGCCCACTGATTGCAGGGCGCGGCTTGTTCGAGCCCCGCTGTGAGCATCTGCTGGGTAGTGGCCTCACTGCTTGACGAGGCGGCAGTGTCACTCCCAGCGATGGCAAGATGGCTGGGGCTGCGGCTCTGGCCGCTGACTCACGTTTTTGCGTGCAATTTGCTGGCATGTACACTTTACTCCAGGCCGTGGCCGTGACCAACGCTAGCCGGGCGTTCTGGCGGGCGGACGTCAACAAGGAGCCGCTGCAGGTGGGCGGCGGCACCTGCGCGGCAGCTTCCATGCCACACCGTTTCATCGAGGGGTTGATGGTCGTGACTGCGGCCCTGCCCTGCTGCGGCACCGAGCGCCTCGGGTTGTACGATTTTCAACCAGCCATCTCTCAGCCCCCTCCTCCGCCTCTCAACTCTGCCATGGCTCCAGCGTGTGTATGCCATCACGTTCCCGGACAAGGCCCTCCTGAAGGACTACCAGCACCGTAAGCGGTCGTGATGCTGCTGCTGCTGCTGCTGCTGCTGCTGCCGTTGCAGGTGGTGGTGGTCGTGGTGGCTGTGGTTGTGGTGGGGCCGGTGGTGCGGCTGTTCTGGGGCAGGCTTTTTGGGGGCAGGGGGGTAGGTGTCGCTGCCACCTGGATTCCCAGGTTTTGAGGCAGGGCACACGCCTGGCATGCTGCGCCGGCAGCGGAGTGAACCGCGCGGCACCCCCTTGCTTTCCCCCTACTTTCCAAGCCGTGCCACCCTGTAAGCCATATCTCAGGCATCTCCCATCTCTCTCTCTCTCTCTCACACACACACACACACACACACGCACACACAGGCATGGAGGAGGCGAAGAAGCGCGACCACAGGAATGTCGGCGTGCAGCAGGTATGGACATGATCCAAAAACATGTCAAGATCCCTTGTTCTGCCCTCAGCCGTGCGCTGGCAGCCTGGCGTTGGGCTGCAAAGCGCGCGAGCCGCCCCACCACGCTTGAGACAGTGCCTTCGCTTCAGGGCTCGCACCCACCACTCGGATCTGACAACCCGCCATATCTGCTCCCACCCGCCCCTCCCTCGATTGACCCCCCCAGGAGCTGTTCTTCTTCCACCAGCTGTCCCCAGGCAGCGCGTTCTTCCAGCCGTGCGGCGCGCGCGTGTACAACGCACTGGTGGCCATGATTCGCGAGAAGTACTGGGAGTACGAGTACGAGGAGGTGGGTTGGGTTGTCGGTGACGAGTAGAGTCTGCAGCGTGCTCATTCTTTGGCTGCGGCATGTCACGGCGCGCGGGTGTTGATGACGCTGATGTTGTTGTAGCAGGGGGTTTTCCGCAGGGCCAGACGGCCAGTCGTCACCCCCTGTGCGCCTTGACGGGCGCTCTCGTGGCGGTTTTCGGCCTTGCCAAGCCAGCAGCCCAAAGCGCGTTATTTCACCGCGTGTGCACCCCGCGCTCATCGCCGCCCTGCACTCCTTAAACTCCTGATTTCAAGCAACATCCCTGGTTCGACACACCTCCCCTCCTCGCCTCTGCCGCGGCACGCCCAGGTGGTGACCCCCAACGTGTTCAACTTTGACCTGTGGCACACCAGCGGCCACGCGGACCACTACCGCGAGAACATGTTCTCGTTCGACGTGGAGAAGGCGGAGTTCGGCCTCAAGCCCATGAACTGCCCGGGGCACTGTGTCATGTTCGCCAACAGGGCGCGAAGCTACAGGTCAGTTATTCGAGGGGGGGGGGGGCGGCGGCTGCGGCGTGTCTATGCTTTGCCTGCGGGCGTGTGCACGCATGTGTCTGACACACTGGCAGCACAAGCGGCGCTTGCACTTCGCAATGGCCGCGTGCACTTTGGTGGCGGTCATGGCTCACGCAGTCCATCACCATGCTCACGGCGCCCCCTGCCCTGACGCGGCCCCGCTCGCCCCAGGGAGCTGCCCCTGCGCTACGCGGAGTGGGGGGTGCTGCACCGCAACGAGTACAGCGGGGCGCTCAGCGGACTCACGCGCGTGCGGCGGTTCGTGCAGGACGACGCACACATCTTCTGCCGACCGGACCAGGTGCGGCGCGGCGGCGAGCGCGCGCGGGCGTGGCCCCACGCATGCTCCTGCCGCGCCTGGGACTGCGCAGCCAGTATTGCTGTCGGTGCTCTGCGTGTCGGAACAAGACACTTTGCATGAGGTCAGACTCCTACGTAGACACATCCACCCCTTGGATTGCACGCGCGTGCGCGCCCGCGCGCGCGCGCACACACACACACACACACACACACACACACACACACACACACACACACACACACACACACACATTCACACTTGCATAGACACTCGAACACACACATAAGCACTCACATAAACACTGACACACATGCATTTTTGGTTTTGGGTTTTGGTCCACTTCCTCAACCCCCCCCCCCCCAGGTGATGGCTGAGGTGCAGTCGTTTTTGAAGATGCTGGGTGAGGTCTACGGCACCTTTGGCCTCGACTACAGCATGGCCCTCTCCACCAGGTGGGGGCCGCCCCCTCTCTGGGGTGGAGGCGGAGCAGGGGCTGAGTGCTGGGGCCAGTCCGCACGCCTGCATTTGCTGCTTGGCCCACAGGGTGGCTGAGCTGCAGCTGAGCCGCCGGGCGTAACGGGCATGGGGATGCCCACGGGCAGTCCGCGCTTTCGCTGAAAATGGCCCCAGAATGATAACAGCACTGCGCACATCATGCCTCATCCTGTGCGCCAATACCATTGTCACTTTCGGCCGATCCTCGTCACCGTTAGGCCCGAGGGCTATCTGGGCGAGCTGGCGACGTGGGACAAGGCAGAGGCGGCGCTGACCGAGGCGCTCAACAGCACGGGGCTGCAGTGGACCATCAACGAGGCCGACGGCGCGTTCTACGGCCCCAAGATCGACATCACCGGTGAGGGCCGTCGTGTCTCTTTCTCTGTTTGTGGTCTCACACGCGCGCATGTGTGTGTGTGTGTGTTCTTCAGGCGGCAGGACGGGTGGTGTGTGTGTGTGTGGGTGTGTGTGTGTGCTTGTGTGAGGCGAGTGTGGCATGGATGATGGGTGTGGGCGAGGCTTCAGGCAGGAGAAGAAGGAGAGCCTGTGAGTGGGCGGCGTTGAGAGGAATGGCATGCGGCAGTGACGCCACTCCCTACGCCGCGCGCCTGCCTCCTCTTCCACCCACCTGTGACGCCCTTGGCGCCCCGGCCCCTCGCCTGCCGCGGACGCCGCGCAGTATACGACGCCCTGCGGCGCAAGTTCCAGTGCGCGACCGTGCAGCTGGACTTCCAGATGCCCATCAGGTGGGGGGGGGCGGGAGGGGGTGGAAGACGTTGACACCAGCAGCATCAACAATTCAGTAAGTCTGGATTTTTTGTTGGAGGTTTGGGGCGGGGAGGGCGCTCGACCCCGGAGGACGTGAGCGGTTGCAGCAGGGGGCGTCAGCTACCGAGTGGCCCCGCGTCGGGGGCCACTGCGACGGCGTCTCTCCCGCTTTAGTCTTGTCTTCGCCGGCGCACTGCCTGCCGACCCGCTGCCCTGTGCCGCCATCCAATTTTTTGCGACCCAACCAGCAACACAAGCCTCCTTTGCGGTGGCCTGTCACTCTCTGCATACACACACATCAACACACTCACACCGCACACGCGTGCGCGCCCACACACACACGCTCTTCCTCCATTTTCACGCGCACACCAATACTCACACGAACGAACGTGCCAACACACACCTTCGCACACCCACACCTAGCCGCTCTCACACACTCCTACACACACCACACAAACACACACCCTCTCGCACCCCCCCCCCCCAGG